GCCAGAGCGCAGAGGCCTGGCTGCACCAGGCGGCCTGGACAGGGAAGGCACCCCCGCGTCCATGGGGAAATGTGTGTGATGGCACAGGAGCGCCCACGGCCCAGGAACCAGCTGGTTAGAGGTGACTCTGGCAGGCACCATGGGCAAAGGACCGTGGTGTGAGGCAGGCCCTGGAGGCGGAGCGGAAGGATACACTCCTGTCCCCCCCCCCCCCCAGCCAGTGCTCAGCAAGTGTGTGCAGTGAGCAGACAGGCTCAGAGACATTTCCCTGAAACCAAGGCGAGGTCAGAAAGTCAGGAAACAAACCCCAAACAGAATGGCGGCGGCGTTCAGCCACACATGAGGAAATACCCCCCAAGGAAACACCGCGTTCCACCTCGTCGTCTGGCCAAACTTGTAAGTCCCTGCAGTGACACTGATATTAACAGACGTGGCGTGTGTCTGAGCAAGCAAAGAGGAAGAGGGAGAGTCCTAGCTTAAAGGTGACGGTGAGGGGCTGAGTTTTTCCTCTGGATTTTAAATTTTATACGGCCTTGGGATGGTGTTCTTGTGCAGTTAATAAGCACTCTTTGCAAAATGTCTGACATGGTTGTACCTGAGCCAGCAGGAGGATGTGGGGGAGCTGCTGCAAGGTGGCCCCTAACTCTCTGGCTGTCCCTGGCTGGTGTCTGTACACAGAGGGCCCCCAGTGGCATGTGGACAGTTCTGAGTGAACAGAGGGCAGGAGTGTGTCTAGGCTCAGGTTCACAGCTGAGAAGGTGGACACACTGGGCTGGGGCACCCTCAGGACCCAGATCCACAAGCTTGATTCTTTGTCCATCTCCCCTGACGACTTCAGAGGTCCTCCCTCTCACACTCCCAGCTGGCCAGTGCTCCTGTGCTTCCCTGCCCCGTGACTGGTGACCGCCTGCCTGCTGGGCTCCTCGAACAGGGCTTCCCTCTGCTCAGAACAGTTTCTGGCCACTTGGCCCAGCTGAGAACTATGGGGGTAATGGCCAAGAAGTTTCCATCAGAAAGGGCAGCACTGGGACAAAGTGACCGGTGTACTGATCTGACTCTGTCCCAAGAAAAGATTCAAAGGGGAAAATGACTTTGGAATTGGGATGGTGGCTTCAAACCTCCTCATGGAGTCTTCTCTGCCGGCAACCGTCAAAACAGGCAACATATAACCTGTTTAAAACAGCAACCCAACAGAAACACGTGTGACAGGGAAAGCAGAGACTTCCACTGCTCTTTCTCCTCTGGTTGACGCACCTCGTGTAACTGCCAGTTACACCAATGGAAAGCTGAGCTGCGTTAAGTCCTGGGAATGTTTAGCATTCGCTATTCCAAACCGTCAGGATCAGAAGTTTCCAAAACAGGCCTGACGATGCTCATTTCCCTGGAGAACTTGGTAGTTATCATAGGAATGAAGTTGTGCAGTTATGTTTTCATGAACATGCCTGACTCGCCCGTTCCATGCAAGGCACTGTGCTGGTTCTACACAGAGCAGGAGACGTCCTCGGGACGGGTGGAGTTCCCACCAGGAGGGGTCTCAGCCCCGGAGAGCCGTGAGAACCTGCTCACAAGTGGCCAATGCGTCTCCACCAAGAACCAGGCGCCCAGAAGAAGGGAATTCTGGCCAGAGAGAAGGTGGGCACCCTCCCGTGCCTCTGCTCCAGCTCCCCACCCCACCAGGGTGGTGTCCCCGTGGCCAATCCTGCCGTACAGCCCTGCCTCATACCAGGTCCCAGCTTGAGGAGCGTGGCTCCAGGCCCCTCCAAGGCCCAGCGCCTCTGTCTGCTCCCTCTCTCTGCCTCGCCAGTCTGTCCCCCTCTTCTTTCCCTGCCCCCATTCATGTCCACCCGCCCAGCCCACATGTGCTGAACCTCTTCCAGTCGCCCAAACAAAGCTCAAGTCCACGCGCCCCGTTGCCTCCGCTGGAAACGCTGTCCAGCCACACGCTCCCTTCCCTGAAGTCCTCCTCCTCCTCTTCCTCCTCTTCATCTATCCATGATGGCCCAGCCTCCCCTCCTGTAGGGGCTCCCAGAGGCCAGCAGGGACCATATGAGTGTTGAAAACGAATGTCGACTGAAGAGTGTTCAGATCCATGGGTCCTTAGTGAGCACTAGAGAGAGAAGGGAGACGGGAGGAGACGGGACGAGAGAGAGCCAGGTAATAAATAACGCCCCGGGACACCCACCCCAGAGACTTCGCTTCTCGGTCTGTGATCCGTCTCCACCAGGTTCCTCCCTGCCCAGTGCTGCTGTGTCTGCTTCCCAGGCAGGTTTGGCTTTCCGGACTGTGTCCTGGCAGCCTCGAGTGGCTGACCCCAAGCTTGTGTCCTAGGTGGGCTTCTTAATCCGAGGCCATTGGTTTCAGGGGGCCCTGGAAGGTGGCTAGTGGCCTCACAGGTTTGAGCCCCTGGTATTTCTGGGCCCAGTTCTTCAGGGCAGGTGGCTTCCCACCAGCCTCAGCACCCTGCATGTCGTATAAGCTGGGGTCCAGGGTCCTGTGAGCCCCAGACGTACCCTGGACCTCCACTGTGTAGCCCTTGGGCTCTCCCATTTCGAATGTCTCCCTGTCCTCCCTAAAAGCTCCAGGAAAGCCAGAGCATGTCCATACCTGCAGCCTGGTAATACCTGTTGGATAGACCAATGGACCCCTCAGCCAAGCAGAGCTGAGCTACCTGGGTCAGAGGTTGGTCAGAGTCCAGGGCGCTCAGCACAGATGGGTATCAGGGACACAGAAACTGTGAAGGCCAGCTGGACACTGACCATGCCATGGGGCAGGTGTTTGATCAAGGCGGACCACAGGGAGCCATTGGAGGTATCTGGGCTGGCCCCTCCCTTGACCAGAGCTGTGTTTGCTTCAGAGATAGCTGACAGAACCTAGTGTGAATTGGGGTGGGAATCACATTCCCCAGGGAGCGGGCACCGCAAGCTCTGGATTGGAACCCACTCCAGGAAGCCCGAGGCCATTCCCTCGCATGTGGCCCACCATGGCCACACCTGTCCAGCTAACAGTCGGTGTGTGCTCAGTTCAATGCCACTGGCCCGAAGCCATGCTGGCCTCCTTAGCATGTGGGAGGTGGCGATGAACCCGGTGGTCCCTCCATTTGACAGTTGTGTCTTCTTCTAATGTGTTAGGAAACTCTAACCAAGGTGCCAGACCCTTTCCCGGTGTCTGGCTTCACTCCCCATGATGCCTTCAGGGTTTGTCCTGTTACAGTGTGTCAGTGCCTCCGTCCTTCCATGGGAGTGTCCACTCTGTTGTATGGACATTCCACATTTACCCATTTCTCTAAGGATGGGACATGTACGCTGCGGTTCTCCTCTAAGCCAACAACTGTTCTTCCAATGCCCATTGCAGACAGGTAGAGGTGCAAGACCCCGGAGCTGATGAGGCCTCGCTGCGCCCAGGGCCCTCTGTCTGGTGGGAATGGAAGGTGATCACAGGAAGGACACAGATGGGTGGGCAAGGCCCGGCCAGTGTGCAGATGGGGAAGCTGGCCCCGGGGGGCCAGGCAGCCATGGAAGAGGATGGCTGGGGGAGAGAAGTCCTGCCAAGTCCAAGGTCATCAGAAAGCCTTCGAGGAGGGCAGCCTTCAGGCAGAGGGGCAGCAGGAGGAAGGAGCAGGAAGCAGAAAAGAGCTGCCATTGCGCCTTCTCTGTGGCCTTCTGGGTGTGGCTGCAGCTTTGTCAGGTGGGAGGTGACTCATGTGCAGGTGGCAGGAGCAGGCGGGACCTGGTCTGGGTGCCACTCCTGGGAGCGCTGGCTGGGCCTGCTGGAGGGCTTGGACTCTGTCCTGTGGGGACCAAGGCCCTGAGGAGCTCTCACAGGGGTGTCACTGTGGGGCTTCAAAGGAAGGAAGCCATCAGGTTAGATCTGCCCTCCCGACCCTCTGGCAGGACAGAGGGTGGCCCTGAGTGGCCGTCGGGAGCAAGGGGCCCAAGCAGAGGGGAGAGTTCCCCAGAAAGTGTAGGAGGCAGAGCAGGCGGGGTCTGCTGCCCGCTTGGCTACAGGATGAAGGAGAAGGGGAAAGGCAGGGTCCCCAGCAGGCGCTGCGCAGCCCAGGGCATGTGGGCGCACCGTGGGTGATCGGGGGCTGCACCCAGAACCTGACCCTGGAAGGGCTGTCGGGTGCCCTGAGCCGCGGTGCTCACAGCAGTCGGGTGGCACCGTCTCACGTTGCCGCATCCTCAGCTCCTCTAAAGGCGGGGAGTGCAGCGCGAAGCTCCTCACAGACGTGGTAAAGACCAGCGTGTCCCTTTGCCCTTTCTGAGGGTGACGGTCAGGGGAACATGACTCCTGGGGTGGTGCAGACGTTATCCTGTGGCTCTCCCAGCTGGGAGGTGATGGGCCTGGAGGCCCAGGGACAGAGACGACTGGGGACCTGGGGCTAGGAGCAGAGCGCTGCCCACGCAGGTGGCGGTAGTTACCATCCCCCTCTCAGCGCACTCAGCAGCAGGAGCCAAGGAGGGCGAGGCCAGGTGCTCTCTGCCCCGGCTGCAGAGGCCAGTAGGACCCGGCTCTAGGAAGGACGCTGGGCCCCTGGCAGCAGGTTGCTGCCAGGACTGGTTTCCAGGTTCAGGTGAGCAAGAGGCAGGAGCAGTTCTTGTCCCTGTGGAAGCCCAGGACTGGCAAGTGACACAGTGGAGCGCAGGATGGGGACAGCTCCCAGCCAGGTTGTGGAAACTCTGGAAGGGATGGGGAAGGATTCCGCCTTCTGCCACGGAAGGCCCCAGGTCATTATAAGACAGGACCAAACCATGGGCTGTGTCCCCCCGGGAGACCCTGAGGAGGGAAAGCAGAACAGGCAGGGGACACCTCGCTGAGCCGGCCATCCGTGCCCTGTTGGTGGACACAGCAATCCTTGCTCATGGTGGCCAGGAGCAGAGCCCCCTGGTGACCCAGCGGGACCGTCATGACAAACCACTGTCCGGCACCACCACATATGCACCTCTTACTAGCTGACCTTCAGCCTGCGGTTAACAAGGACGTTGTTCTGCTCTGAACAGGAAGAAGAGGAGGAGTGGAAGATGTCAAGGAGCGCCTTCCTCCCCTCCATGAAGGAAGGGAGTGACGTATACAAAGGTCAGTCTGGAGAGTGCTCCTGGCCACCGGGCACCCAGGGCCCTGCCTGAGCACTTGGGAAACCCAAGGGCACAACCAAGAAAGGCCACCAGGGTTCCCTGTCGGTCACCCGTTCCTTCTGGTGGCTTAAAGGCATGTACTTGGTGGCTGAGTGAGACACACGCAGGACAAGAACATGTTCAGAACTTCTGTCCTATTTTTTGAGCCTTCATTCTTCAGCTGACTGTTCTCCTGCTTGGTGGAGGGAGGAGAAGTATTCCCTAGATTGTTCACATGGAGGAAATCCACACCACGGGCACACGGGATGCGGGGTCCTGTTAGAGCAGGGCCGTCCCTGAGTCCTCCCAACAGCTGTTCAACAGGATTCGCACGGCCAAAATCTGGCACGATTCGAGTATGAATTGGTCTTCCAGACCTTTCTATTTTAATTTGCTAGAACTCTGGTCCAGTTCCTCTAGTGCTCCTCCACCCTCAGGATAAAGCCCAATGCAGAGTGACCTGTCAAAATGACCCTGGTGGAAATTCCTGAAAAATGCAATAAGAATCTTCCCAAACCTCAGTCCGTCACACGCTTCCTTCCCAATTCTGACTTATCTGGACAGCGCTGGTACTGCCACTGACATAGATCTATTTGTTTTAAAGTTGATTCAAGGTTTTCATCTCAGTAAAGTGTGTCTCATCCTGAGGGACAACGTCAACATAGTTTTAGGTTTCCCATGATAGCTTTATGAGATAACCATGTCCCTGTGCCACCTCAATCCTCTGACAGACCCCGAGTGCCAAGAAGGGCCCAGCATTTCACCCAGTGCCAACTGAGGTGGAGCCACAGGGCACTGTGACGTCCACAGGACATGGCACCTGCTCTCACAGGGAGGAAGGAGGTCAAAGAGAGTCAGCTAACGTTGACTGAGTGCCCAGACACATTGCTGTCCCTGTCGAGAGGCGGCGGGGAGGCCACCGGCCATCCGGGGCTGAGGCTCGTCAGCTCTTTAACTCGCAGCAGTGCGGAGCAGGCGGCGGCTAGCACTCATGTGGCCTCCTCACATGGCCACTCAGCCAACGCTGACAGGGTGGCTTCAACCTGTCAGTGTGAACCAGCCTGAGGTGGGAAGGTGACACCGCACAGCTGCTGCAGTGTTGTGGCTGCAGCCGTGGATGGGCTGGGAGGTGGCGTGAGCAGGGCCATTGGTGTTGGCGAGGATGATGGCAGTGACATCCTGCAGGTCTGGCTAGCGAGGGCGCTGCAGGGTCACAGGCCTAGCTGAGGGCCCTCAGGCGTGTCAGTAACAAGAGCAACAATGTTATTAAAACGCTGCTTTGCACACGGCTGTCTTTGCCCCGGAGGACAGCCCCCCTTGGTGTCGCACTCTGGTGCAGGACCTCCCAGCCTTCCAGAGGGTCCCTCGTGGTGTGCTCTGCAGCCCTCCCCTGGGAGCTGCCGGGCAGTGTCGTCCTTGGCCTTGGCCTTCCCTTGACATTGGGGACATCCTGCTGCTGTCCCACTTTCTTGTCACTCCCTCATTTTGGGGAGCCCGTCCTCAGGAGGCCCAGAGGAGCTCCCCTGGGAGCTGCAGGGGCCCCTGTGTCTGCGGCTGCGCTCACACTCAGGCTGTGGAAGGCCCAGCCCCCTTCTCCTACGTAACTTGGAGAAAACGAGGGCAAGAGGAAGACAGGTAGCGCACAGGCCTCCGCTCCCACTTGGGCAAGTCGGGAGGGAGCCTGGAAGCACACCTTGTGGACATTAGGAGGACCCAGGACCTGAGGACCGCGGAAGGCTCCTGGGGAGCTGGGTGCTCACCTGCTGCTGGGCCCCGCACTTCCTCCAGGTGCCTGGCTCTCCCCACTGCCGGGTCCTTGTACTCTGTCCCCACTGCCCTGCGGCCCATGTGAAAGGAGCCACCCGTGGGCAGCTCACCCTGCCTGGCTCTCCCTACCAGCCTTGAAGTTAGTGCCAGGGTCCATCCTGAGGCTTCCTGCAGCCGGGTGCTGAGTCCCTGGGACAGGACCTTCTACCTGCTCTGAGAGCAGCACCCGGCCATAGCAGCACTCAGCAAAGTCCCAGTTTAACAACTGGACTCATTCCACCTGTTCTTGAGTGAAAGAATGAACATGGGAATGAATGTCATAGACAGTGTGACCTAGGTAGACAGGCGGGACAGTATTCTGATGGTCCTCTGATACTCTGATTCTGTAACAATGTGCACACATTCCTTTGACAAAACGCAAAAATTAATTTGGGGAAAATCTAACATTCCCATGGGAAGCTCAGACTTGCAACCTGCTAAGCCACACAGGAGAGCTCTCGAGCTGTCCCCGCCTTTTGTGTCATGTCTGTTTCCTCGAAGGCTGAGAAACCGAGCAGCGTCCCTCCAGAAGGGCCTGCAGTGCCCTCCGTGCTGGACGGTGCCAGGAATGTGCTATCTGCCAGGTCTTTGGTAACTTGAAGAAATCAAATCTCTTCATCTTAGAATTCTTTTCTTTACAATCAAAGGTTTTCCTTTTCAAATAAGACATTAGCATTTTAATCACTCAGATTAACCCCCCTGGGCCCCTCCTGGGCCACTCTCCCCTACGTGTGAACCAGCCCTGGCCTGCTTTTCACATTCTTGGGATAAAAGCCAGTTGGGGCAGTTGCTGCCCTTGAGGGTCATGCTCAGCTTCCTGCAATTATAAATGCCCATGAAATTCTTAAAGGGATTGAAAAGTGCCCTGTGCAAAAGTGTCATGAGAAAAGCAAAGTTTCGGTGGAAAACTCAACCCGTTGAGACCATCTAGGGGGAAATAGGAAAAGCCTGTTCGCGGTGCTTCATTTTAAAACATCTCTGCAACTCGGGCCAGAGAATGTGTTACTTGCAACTGTTTGTACATAAATAACCAAGCCGTGCTCCCTTTCTGATATGTATTCTGCGCTCCTTTTATTGTTGGATCAGTCGTTCTCAGATTTTAGTGTATCCAATGAAAAAGAAAAGCAGCTCCCTGTAAATTACAAAGCCATTTTGCTTTAAAATACCTTAATGTGACAGGTGGGTTTTGCTGTTGGTGAAGACTTAGCAATCCTCCAGGGGAACCTGCTTGAAAAAGCTATTACTAGTAAATGGCGCATTCCAACACATTGAAGCCTTTCCTAGTGTTTTTGAGGGGAAAGGTTATGATTTTCAACACATAAAGGAAGCATCTGTTATTCCTACAGTTTAAAGCATTCCATAGTTTAAGCTCATGTACGTTTCAGAAAATGCACTAATGGAAGCACCTGCCTTCAGATGAGGGCACCATCAGCCAGGGGAGCCATGGGGGATCTTGCAAGCTAACCGTAGTGCACATTCTGGGGGGATTCACGGTGAAGAAGAAGCTTCCCGCCGTCACCTGCTCCTCTTTAACGACGCCAACAGAGTGTTGTGGACAATTTACACGAAACTTTTCTGACGGGTCTCTGGCTGGCTCGCAGGGAGGATTATTTACGAGAACAGAACTTGAGCCCAGGCCTCCAGCCATCTCCTGCAGGCCCACTCCCCTCCAGCCGCCCTTCCGGGTCCTCTCCCCTTTGGACTTCACACCTCAGTTCCAAGCTGGTCACCTCCCTGGTCTGGGTTACGGCCTCTTGAACTTCACCCTCCCCCTGCGGTCACCCTCAGAGGACTGCAGACCCATGGAGGCAGGACCCATCCCTCTCCCCACCCCAGCATTCTCATCTGCTTGTGCCCCTGTCACCCGGCCACCTCTCAGTGGCTTCTGTACGGGGAACTGCTGTGAAACTTCTACCCTCTGTGTGGTTTATTTCTTGTCTGTTCATTCCAAGGCCACACTAGGCATTCTATTCTAGAAGAAATCTGGGGCCTTTTAACAGCATCATTTTCAAAAATCCCACCCCTGCAACCTTGGGTCCCACAAGGCTCAGCCTCGCATCTGGGTGGCAGAGACGGCCATCAGCTGGCACCTCTCACAGCCCTGCCTGGCCCAGTTCCATCATTTTTCTTTTTGGTGGGAGGTAGGTAAGCAGAGGCTGCGAGGACCCTTCTGGACCTTGAGTGACCCAGACAGGCTCTGTTCCCTCTGTCCCCTGCTTCTCTGAGTGATATAGGTCATCCTTGTTTTCTCTTGGGTCACATTTCTCTGGATCCAACTCCTGAACCACCAGGGGAAGGCAAGAGGGAAGTTCAAAATGTGTGATTTCCAAAACATTCAAAAAGTAATGCAAAAAAATATACTGTTGGTTAGGAGAAAGCAGCACTCGTGGGCTTGGCCTGTCTGCAAGTATCAGGGAAGGGTCAGTCCCAGGGAGGGGTCAACGGTGGGCAAGTGCAGCAGCCACAACTCTCACACTTCAGTGAATAATGAAGCGATAGAACACATCACAGAAATAGAGCCCGTCATTGTCTGGTCCCACTGTGCATGCTGTTTTACTGGTCTGAGTCACGGGACGGGGAACCATCTGCCTGTTTCCCATTAGCAGTTCTCCTCTTTGTCAAGGTGTTACATTAGCGTGCCCGTAAGTCCGTCCTCTCTGGCCTGTTTTATTCACGCTCCCCCGACAAGAGGCTGAAAGGGAGGCTTGTGCTGGTCCTAACAGCAGCTTCCTGAGGCCCGCGTGCTGACGTCCTCTCGTTCTCTCTCCCTTGCGCTTCTCGGTATAGACACGTGGATGAATAAAGATGAATCTCAGAATTTCCCTCAAGACTATGACGAAGAGCTGATCAAGAAGGAGAAACGGAAGGAAGTGGAGGCGGAGATCAGGGTGCAGGTACAGCACACCTGTCACCGCTCAGTGACTCGGCTTCTTGGCACTGCCTGCTCGTGACCACCCTTCAGATTAGAAGCAGTTTTTGAATTTCACCAAGAAAACCACCAGGCATGCAAGGTCACTGAGAAGTGGTGTTTCGTCTTCCCGCAGGTTGATGAGTTGATGCGACAGGAGCTAAAAAACTTAAAACTAGCAGTGAACAAGGAAATCGAGCTTCCGGTCAGAGCGGGAAAGAAAGGGAAGAAGGTGAGTGTGAGGATGTGGGGCAGCGGGTGGAGGTGGCTCGTTCAGTGACAGGATGGAGGCCCTGCCTGCACAGTGGGGCGCCCGGGTGGGCCACCTAGCAGACCAGGTGGCTGTCCCCAGGACCTCGAGGGGCAGCACGCCTTCCTTTGGTAAGCTCAGTGGGTCGGCCTCTTGGCCCTCTGAGGGGACTCATACACAGGCTCCACTCTGTCCTCTGACAGTAACTTCCTCGACCCCTCAGCAGGGGCAGCATCAGATGCCCAAGCCCCATGGGCAGGATGAGAACTACCAGAGGAGCCAGAGCTCATGCCCAAGTGCCCCTGCCTCCTCTCCCCCTGGAGGTAGATCTTTAAAGGTGGCCAGTGGCAACGATCAAGCTTGTGGGGGGTGGGGAGGTCAGAACAGAAGGAATCGGGTGAGTTGGCCCTTAAGTTTCCCCCACCCTGTCTCCCCTGGTATGGAGCAGCCACCTGGACTAGAATATCCAAAGTTCATGTACTTGGTCCCCTGCTTCACCTTCAGAGACGGGGAGCAGAGGACAGACACGCAGCCTGCCCTCGGCCCTTCAGGGGAGTTAGAGACAGTCCTGCCACCGGGCCCAGAATACCCAAGGCAGAAGGCCAAGATGTCACCCTGGGGCATGGGCATGAGCACGGCAGCTGAGCCTCTGACGCTTCCCCAGGGTCTGTGGCCGAGGGACAGACACAGTCCCTCTGGGGTTCTCCACACTCACGTCTGGCTTTCCCAGCCCAGGGGCCCGTGGCCCGGGATGACGCTCCTAGCCCATATTATCCTGGTTTCACAGTTCAACTCTGAGGGCAACTGAGCTCCCCGCACACTGTGGCCCCATGAGGTCCTCACTCCCTAGTGAGGGCATCTGTTCCTACCCCTCAGCTCCATGCATGTCTCTCAGATCTGCCGACAAGGCTGTTTTAATGACTGGATGTGGAAATTCAACTGAACAAAACCAGACGTGAAACTGGACCCCCCTGGCTGGGATCAGCTTTCCCCTCTCACCAACCACCTCACTGCCTACCTCACCCCAGATCAGACCAGGCCCACTCGCTCTCCTGGCAGCCACCTTCTCATCTCCTGCAGGCTGGCTGCCCTCGCCATGATGCCAGGGATTGTGCCGTCACAAAGGATATCAGGGTGCTCCAAGAGGTGGACTGTAATTGTGGAACCACAGAGCGTTGCATACCCAAAACTCCAGTCCAGGTGACCCAGGGGTGAACCCTGGGATGTGACGGACTGGGATTTAATTCCATAAGCCGGACGTTCACTGGGCACTGTGTATTCCTCCGTGGGAAGACTACGAGCCACAGAAGAAACGAAGCAGGAGGAATCCGAGGGGCTGAATCTGTTGGTAGTCACCCAGCACTTTCCAGGGAGAGTGGCTTGACCAGAGTCTCTCCAGAGTCCAGAGTCCCTCACTGTCTCCAACTCCCCTGAAGGGCCCGAGTGCAGGCTGCGCGTCTGTCTTCTGCTCCCCTGTCACCCTTCCTGGCACCCAGTGAGTCCTCAGTGTGTCTTACTGAATAAACTATGTATTACATCTGGATCCTACGCAGATTGATCCCTGTAGACTAGGGGGCGTCTCGGGTGTCACTGTGGCCTCAGGAGCATCCCACCACCTCCTCTCCTGCCTGGAACTCAACTCCTGATGAGTGGCTGCACTGCCATGTCATTCTCTTAAGGAGGGCGAGTCCCCAGCCTGCTTCTCTTGACAATCATATTTCCCATCACAAATTAATCAGCTTTGATTGTGGTCTGTTCCACCCTCTGGTGATTTGGAGATCCGGAATCACACCCCGGGGGGCAGAACGTCTTTTTATTTCATTCAGTTAGTGTCTATTGAGTACCGAGGCCGGGTGCACAGGGAATACGAAAGACAGCAAGACTGAGATCTGTCCTGCCAAAAGCAAGACTCTGGCTATAGGACAGCAATGTTCCTTGGGTGAGCTGTCCTTCGCCCTGACGACCCGGGGTGAGGTCCTGCCTCTTGCAGGAGAGAGAGACCTCAAGTCCCCGACTTGTTCTAATCACAAAAACCTAAGGACACAGAAGTTCCTAGAGAAGCCTGGAGTTCCTGGCAGGTTTGGCTCTCCTCCCGAGGGCTTGGATATATACATAAAACTTGTCACATTTAAACAAGGATAGGATCAGCAAAATGGCAGAAAAGGAGTCCATCCTCACTCCCCCAAGAATCACCGATTGATCAACCACCCACAGGCAGGTGGATCCTCATAGGAGCCTGGAATCCAGGTGAGAGGATGCAGCACCTGGGTGAGGTGCAGAAACGAGCAACACTCTGGAGGGAGTAAGAAGAAGTGTTTCATGTTGTCCTTGCCCTTCCCAAGCCCACGGGTCGCATCACGGAGGCCCACTTGGCCTGCGGGGCCTCCCTGTGGGGTGGGTGAGAGGGGAGCTCCTGACGCCACCACAGATTTGTGCACCTGGACCCAGCACTGCAGGCCAACCCACAGGCCTAGCCCAGGAAAGATCCAGAGTGTATCACTACAGAAAATCACCAGCTCACCAAGGAGAGCAGCAAGAGAGAACCGCAAAAGAAACAGAAAACAGTTAAAGCAATAGCAAGTCCTTATCTGTCAATAACGTAAGTGCATATGGATTAAACTCACTGATCAAAAAATACAGAGGGACTGAAAGTCTGTTTTGAAACAAGAACCAGCTGTGTGCTGCCCACAGATGGCTCCTTTTAGACTCAAGGACACGTAGAGGCTGTGTGTGGAAGGCTGGGGAGGACCTCATGCGAGTCCCCACCAAAAGCAAGAAGAGGCTTCACTTCTGCAGAGCAGACCCTGAGTCAAAAGCAGCCACAGAGACCAGAGAGGTCGGTTCTCTAGAAGACGTGGCAGTTAACGCCATCCTACGTCAAAGCGCACGAATGTATGAAGCAAGCGCTGACCTCCTAAGGTCAGCCTGCAATGGAATAGCACTCTTGACAGATGAAGAGGATTGATAGGATGGAGAGCTGGCGATTGACTTCCAGGGTTAACAGTGGGGCGTCTTGGAAGGCAAGGGGGCAGCAAAGGGCCCCTGAGGGACCGTGCCCGCTGTGTCCTCGTGGAAATGTAGTGCACTTGACTATGGGTGTTGCCGTCCTGGCCGGGATCCTGTGAGGCAGTTCTGCAAGACACCGCTGCTGCAGGAACCCGGGAAGGACCACGGGAGCCTTCTATGGGTGGCTCTGCTGTTACCTGGAAAGAAGATTCTGAAAAACCAGAGACCATGACAGAAGCGCAGCTGTGTGGTCATGACCATGAAGCTCCATGTTGTGATAGAGTTTGAAAGAAGCCAGTGTGTGGCACAATCCCACCTCCAAGAGCCTGTGGTGACTCAGCCAGGACAGAGGTGACGAAGATGTTGTGTATTTTGAAATGTGTGGAGGTTATATGTAAGAGCTCAATGCAAAATCAGACCAAGCAATAAAAAAGAGGGAATGGGGAACACACAGGAGGGGTGGAATGCAGAGCACCCAGGGGTACGATAGTGCCTGGCGTCTGTCATGTCTGGGAAACATGCTTGCTTGAGGGGACTTGGGCTAGAAGGTGACAAGAAAGGAAGCCCAGTGCTGGAGTGCCTTTGCACACAGTGCCTTGGAAGTCCAGCTCATCCTGTGGGCCGTGGGGAGCTTCGGAGGGATATTGTAAATAGAACTCTGAAGGGACCAGTACCACCGAGAGGCTGCACTGGGAGCCTGTCCCTCCAGGCTGTCACAAGGATCCCAAAGCCAGGTTCCTTGGGAACAGGAGCTGGACAATTGCCTGGCCCTGAGGGCTCCCAGGTTGGGCCGGTTGCTGACAGAGAGGTGATGGGGCATCGCCCTGGTCCATCTGGGCTGCTAGGACAAAGTGCCCCAGACCGGGTGATCGATAAAACAAGAGAAGTTTATTGCCATGAACTCTGGAGGCTGCAGACTCCCTAGGGGAGGCTCTTGGCTTCTGAGATGGCCCTATTAGCTGTGCGTCTCCGTGGCAGAAGAGGTGACAGCTCTCTCTGTCCTCTTCCACTAGACACTAACCCTGATCATGAGGTTGGAGCCCTCTTAACCTGATTGTCTTCCAAAGGCCCTACCTTGCAGGACGGTCACCCCAGGGCCAGCTGGGGAACAAGCACTAGACCATGGTAGATTCAGAGACAAGCACAGCCCAGTTCTCTGCCTGTGCCCAGCTTATCTGTGCCAGAGCTCAGAGGACAGGACGGACCGCTGGGGCCGATTTGGAATTTGGCCCTGTGCAGGTTTCACAGCGAGACCCACCTTCTGTCCATAGGGACCACATCTGCGGGGCCACGGGGATTCCCCAGGCCACTCCCTCCCCTCTGGAAACAGGGCAGCCCTGCCATCAATGTAACGCGAGCGCATCCCGAGCGCATCCTCCCCACCCACGACCCCAAGGAACCATCTGCTCAGCTGATCTCTGCTAAGTGGATGGTCACTTCCATTTCCTTACAGAAGAACAAAGGGAAGAAAGGGAAACGAGGGAAGAGGGGGAAGAAGGACAAGGACCTGACGGCCGACAGGTGAGGAGAACGGTGGCAGAGAGGGGGCCGGGAGCCCTGAGCAGCGGGAGGGCGCCCCTCTGTTCCTCGGCAGTGTCGTGGAATGAGCAGATCTGGGGGAGCCCCCTGCAGATCCCAGGTTGGAAGGTGCACAGCACGAGGACGGCCCAGAGGCGGACCTGGGTGCCGTGGCATCGAGCTCACGTGGCGTTTTGAAGTGTTAAGATTCATGCGGGGGAGGGGGTGTTCTTTAAAAATTGTTCAGGAAATAACAACCCGAGGAACCTCCGGAGGACACGCCAGGGTAGAGAGAGTCTCAGTCCTCCCCGGGCCTGGCCGCCCCTGCTGGGCTCCCTCCAGCTTGTTGCGGGGAGACCAAGGGGAGACGGAGTCGGCCAAAGAGGGTGCTCCATTCCTCGGGTTTTGCTGTTCCGATTCCTAGTGAAGGATGGCTTTAAATGCTGAGGTTTTAAAGCTGAAATGGCTCTCAAGTGCTACAGCATTGAAAATAAAGAGCACGAGGGGTCACATGTTAGGGAGGAAGTACCCTAACAGGAGGGTGTCGGGGACCTTCTGAAGGGATCCCTTGCCTGCCAGGTGTTTTGCTCACAGTGGACGTGGGGGGCTCTTTTTTGGGTGCCATACCCCAACTGCCTACAGCCACCACCCAGTTAACCCCTACAGGAGATGAGTGCACCATAACCAATCGCTTCACCCCAAACGTCCTTGCACTTTCTCACACAAGCTTTTGGGGGACACTTCGTATCTAAACCATAACAACGCCTATGGTATGTGCCTAGAGTAAGTAAGAATTCAAGCTAAAACACTGCAGTGGGTATCTCGTTGATGTAGATTAGGTACCGCTACCCCCAATTCCATTACCTTTAGCCCTTTCCTAATTTTCAGCAGAGGGTGTGCTATTTTAAATATGTTGAAGACTGGAGGTCACACGGGTCCCAACAGCACTGACCTTCCTGAGTCTCTTTTGTCCCTTGGATCACAGAACAGTGGGAGAACTGCTGGACAATAGCTTTATTTATAATTTATTTATAATAGAAAGACAGGTGGGGTGGAAGGAAAAGAAGAGGAAGCATCGTGGCCGCCCACGCTGAACCATATTTGAGCTGACTATCGGAATTCCCACAAACCCCACCTGACATTGCTGGGGGTGGCGGCCGTTAAGTGGGACCCTGCGTCCATTTTTGTTGGGTGGCATGAATCACAGTGTGCTGGCTCTGTGCCAGGCCCCTCTTTGAGAAGTCATTTTGGCACCTTAAACACTGCAGAAATGTCCGCAGCCTGCTAGAAGCCGTTCCCCACGCAGCCTTACACTTCACCTTCCATGTAGGAGAGATCTCCAGCAGAGGCCTCGCTCCTCGTACTGATTTCTTTCAAACCATCATGCTGTCAGGTTAATAGGAAACACAAATTTCACCAAGCGTTGATGATTTCCCACTGTGGGCAGGTGCTGACTGAATAGCACGTTGCTAGCATTGGGTGATTTCTAATTCACATTTGTGCTATCACGAAGACTGGTGGCCACCCGACTGGCCTCAGCTACCCCGAGATATAATCCTTATTGATGGAAAACACCCGATATGCACATGGATGAGTGAAAACTCTATTTTTAAAGGCCAAATTTACCCCCCAAATTGTAGAAACACCTCAAAAGTCCATTCATTTGCATACATGCAGATGTACTTTGAATAGATGTGGTCCAAGTTCTTGGCTCATGTGCTGATTGACGGAAATACTGCTGACCCCCTGTGTGGGCTGCTGATGTAGATGCTCTGCTTTGTCCCCAGGACCATCGAGTCTCTGTTCAAGGAGCTGGTGGAGGAAGGCCTGCTGATCCAGGCTCGGAAAGTCAACCTCTCTGATTACATTGGTAAAGTGCCCCAAGAGCAACCCTGAGGTCCAACAGTGGGAAATATGTTTCATCTGAGTCTTTGTCCAAACAAACCCCGCCGTGGTAGCCTTTGGCAGACGTTTGTCAGACTGAGTGATGGGAATAACCTAAGGGGGGTGCCGTGAACTGACCCCGGTCCAGTGCTGCCCCTGACATGGCAACAGCGGGACTTTGTATCCTGCCTGCCGAGCTCCTTGGCACGTTCTTTCTGGCATAACCTGAGGAGGAAATGAACTGTGTGTGCTTCCTGACCAAGCAGAATGCCCTGGGGCAGCCCGGTGCTTCCACAGTCCACACCCTCCCAGCAGGAATTCCACCCGAGGGAGCTTCCAGGGAGGACAGGGAGGTAGAGAAAAGGAGGAGCGTCCGGACAGGGGCTATCACAGCCTTCAACTAATGGTTTTCTGTTGGTCTTTTATAACCTGGAAACACAAAGCTTAAGATGCCCCGTAACTTCACCATCCTAATGCCGACATTACCTTCTCCTGGAGAAAGTCCCTCCAGTGAGCGGGGGTGTTGTCCCATGTCACCACAGGGGCGTAGACTGCCGCCCAACATATACGTGCAGCTCAGTTTCCCCGGGCCTGGTAATGTCCTCCACGACTGGGTGACTGCCCATCTCTTGGTGCTCCTGCGACCCTTCCCTCTAGATGTTTCCTGGCCTTTTCCGCCCGGCTCAGCCCGCAGTTCTTGGGACTCTGAGCCGCTTTGCAGGCTGTTCCTCTGCTGAGCTGCTTTGATGGTTTCCCCATCATTTGATTTAGGTTCACGTTTTTCACAGGAAAACTTTTGAAGATGCAGTGTCCTTCTCAGTGTTTCCCACTGGACACAGGGTGCCACTCTGTCCCATCGCTGGTGACATCAAGTTGAACCACATGGTGAAAGTGCTGTCCCCAGTCTTCTCCACTGGGAAGCTATCTTCCTCTTTGTAATTACAGAATAATATGGGGTGGTGCTTGGGGCTCTGGAGATGCCGACCCCAGCTGCCTCTCGCAAACACTTGTGGCATCCACTGGTGACTTTTGTCTGCGGCAGTCTCACTGTGATGGTGGTAAAGTGGGGTTCTGTTCCCACCACTCCTCCTACACTGAAAGAGACCATTCTTCTGTAAGAAAGTATGGAACCTTTCTGAATTGTGGTGGTGTCAGTGTAGACGCACGAAGTCTCTCCGTGATCAGCGTAGTATAATCTGTGTCATTGTTCACTCTAATAGAGCAACTAGGTACCAAAAACCCTCAGGCCTCCCTTACTCCAAAACTAAATGACAAGATTTACTCTTAAGGGCTGGGGGGGTGGCTCAAGCGGTAGTGCGCTCACCTGGCATGCGTGGGGCGCTGGGTTCGATCCTCAGCATCACATAAAAATAAAGATGTTGTGTCCACCGAAAACTAAAAATAAATAAATAAATATTTTTTAAAAAAAATATTTACTCTTGAGCCTCAAAGTACAAGCCTTGGGGACACTGAAGGACCTGAGAACAGCAGAGCCTCAAAGTAACCAGCCAGCACTCACTGAAAGGTGCTGTGGGCTGGGCAAGAACTGAACTGAAACAGAGAGGCGTGTCCATGGCAGATCAGTGCAAAGGGCCAGGGCCGAAGCAGTCCACACTGACAAACTCTGGGAGTGACCTCCGCTCTGCCCTTCTTAGATGGGGCTCCAAACCAAGGAACCTCTTGGGAGTAGAACCAAAACTGAGCAGAACAGGGAAAATAAAGATGAAACAGAAGAACAAAAGCATTGGGAGAGGGGATCGGAGGCAGAGCCTGACTTAGAACAGGCCCCGTGTTTCCACATACATGATCAGCAGGAGAGGAAGATTTGCAAAACTAGAAAAGCCATCCTGAGCCACATCTTCTAGAAAAACAGACAGTTAACTCACATAAATTTTAGCAACAGAAAACTTCAAGGTCAAAGTCCACATAAAATTATCCTAAGAAAAATGAGGAAAAATATCTCAGAAAGACATTGCCATAGAGCAGAAGCTAATAATATGCATTAAAATTATAGAAGACATGTAAGAACAGCATGAAGTAGAATTAGAAAAACTCAGGAATGAGGTGGTAAAACTCAAGAAATAGTATTAATAAAGGAAAAAATATTTTAGGAAAAAACTGATTTAGATACAAGAGCTCATAAAGAACAATGCTTTAAGAGAGAGAAAAGGTAAAAGACAGAAATTTTTAAGGTAAAATTAGAAATGAATAGAGATTTTTAAAAATTCAGAAGAACCTGTCAAATACTGAAAACAGTCAAAGAAGGTCCAACATACAAAAATGTCCCTGAAGAAGAGCCAAAGGGGAGCGGCAGAACACTACGGAACCAAACTCATGAGGCTTTCTTTGAAAAGACGTGCAAGCCACATCAGGAAAGACACCCTGCATCTGGGAGCAGGGACTCAGTTTCACCAACACCAAGCACATTCTCTAAAAGTGCCTTGGGAATCAGTGGCCCATAAGGGAAAGGAAATTAGAGCAATAGCAGCACTTTATATCAGAAGCAGATGGAGCCACATCTTTGAGATAGTCAAGCACAGTAAATAAGATTCGAGGATTTTGAACTCACCCAAACTCATGTCCACATACACAGGACACAAGCTCCTAACTAGGCAAGAACTCAGTGTATTTTGCCCATGTGCCCATCTTGAGGAATCTGCTAGGAAGGAGCTACCTCAGTGGAAACGGAGGAGAGAGATCTGACACCAGGGCTGGTGGCAACCTGCAGGGCATACTCACTTTTGAACCTGAGACCAAACAGGGCCACCAGGCAAAGTGTGAGTGCAGAGAGCCGTCTGCTCTGACAGTGGGTCACACAGCCACAGAAACCGGGGAGGAAGAGCTGGTACACACAAGGGCTTAGCGCCTTCAGTATCCTGGGCAGTACTGGTTGGCATGAGAGTGGGTGTCTATGGGGGTGGTGCAGCATGGGGTAGGCAACTGAGAAGTTGTGGGGCCTGCCACCCACCCCCATGTCTTGAAGACTGAGAGTGGGGTGTATGTGTCATGTGGAAGGAGTTGGGGAAACTGGAAATCCACATTGGTAAAGCACAGAGGCCCAATTCCCAGGAACTTATGGATACTTTTAAGATCCTAAGATTTTAAGATGGATACTTTTAAGGTAGGGCGACCATGATGAATACCAAGGTGCATGGCCTTCCCAGCTCTGTCCAGTCAAAACACCTAGAAAGAATGACCTCCTGGCTCTTGGTCCAGGCAGGACCAACCTGTAGCCACAAAAGCCCCTGGCCTTCGGGTTATGTTCTTAACACTCCATCTCCCACTGAAGAAGCCAGCACTTCTTGGAGAAATGGCCAGTGCCAGACAGGGCAGGGGACACAGAGAGGAGCCCGAGATACCACCTGCCACATGGTGACGAAGCTGTCAGAGATGACCCGGTTCACGGCAGAAAACAGGTTGAAGAAACTCGTTTATGAAGAGACTAGCTGACAAAAGTTGAAGGAAACAGGAGACAAGTTGAGGGAACTCCTCAGGCCAAAGGGGGCCGTACTGAGCTCAGTGAGGATAAGAAATACGATGTATTGAAATCCATGAGACATATTTTTATTCAAAAATTCTTAACAACATTAAAAAAACCCTAATTGTCATCTTCACAGAGTACGACCAGAGGCCAGTTTATTGTCTTACAAACTGGCAATTAGAAAGATCCAAGCATTTGCTCTGTATGTCCTCACCACCGGGTACCCCAGCAGCAGGTGAGGGGTGTCTTCCTTTTCAAAACCATTCCAGCTAACCGCCAAGGTCAAAGGGAGTCAGGGCATCGCTGTGCTGCTACCCCGGGAGTCCAAGCATGGGAGGCTGCTAAGCTCTGCGGAGGGCAACCCCCTGACGTCCTCCCACATGAACCCGCAGCCTCCTCTGGGGTGGAACCCAGTCTGACGGGCCTGCAGACCCAGCTGCCATTCTGCTGGGACTGTCATGATGGGAAAGCCTCTGATCCTGGGACAGCCCCAGCTGAACCTCTCTGTCTTTGGTGGCTTTTGGCTTTTGTTCCTTAAGCAGAGCTCAGTGTCCTTCACGCCACGCCCTCGGGTCTGGAGAAGGACTTGAAGTCTGGACACTCCTTTGCTCATTGGTCGCTGGCTTCCCTGATGTCTTTCTGATTTTGGAACAGAGCAGTTCGTGCCTGGAGCTTCCTTCGCCAGCCAGGCCGGACAGACTTCCCACGTAAGGGGAACTGGAACCAAATAATTGCAGGCACCTCTCCTCAGTCCGATGCCCTAATTTTGATTGAACTTCTTGGTTTCTCTGTGACACTGGCACACAGAGGCGCGGCCTGGCTGGTTCTGGAGCAACCTGTTCTCTACGAGCTGCGTGATCAGAGCCCTATGCGGTGTCAGGAGGGCAGCCTACAGGCTGTGCCTCCAGGCAGGACAGACAGGCAGACCTGGGCTTTTCCAGCAGACCAGACCAGATGTCCAGCCATGCTCCACAGGGCTGGGAGTCACTTTGGGAGTCAGGATTTGTAGTCCCGCCTCCCTCCCAGCACCACTCAGATCCCTGTCACCATCCCCTTCACAGCAGGTCTGGCTGCAAGAGATTGAAGAGGAGAGGACAGAACCAGAGACGGGTGGGTGGGCCTGCAAACCTAGCCCTTCCTCCCCGCCCCTCGCCTCCCCAGCTCACCAGTCCACACCCCTCCCTGGCCTCACTCTACACTGTCCGGTGTCCATCTCCATACGCTGGCCCCATGCCCAGGAAGCCCACTCTGAGGTGTGCCAGAAACAGCACATTTCCTCACAACCCCCAAACTGCCAAGTCCTTCTCAGGAGCCCCATCCCACCCCTAGGGACCAGCAAGCTTCCCAGTTCCCAGTGGGACCAGAGTGCTACAGAGATATTCTGGACATTAGTGCCCATGAGGACCTCCTAGGCCACCAGAATGCAGGCTGGATGCCCAACTGGACCCTGGCCAGACTGGGTTTCTCCCCAGGCCCCACCTTGCCTCTCCCAGAGCTTCCTATGCCACTCCTGTAGGGTGGGTGATGGCAGCCACCACCTGGGAAAATCTCTATGAGTTCTGAGCATGTGGCAGCAGAGACACCCTGGCCAGCCGCCGACACCCCTCCTGCTGTCTCCAGTCCCCCGTCGGCTTAGTGCACTCCTGTGAAGAAGGAATTGGCTCTGTGGCGCCCCACATGTGCCTCCCGACCATCCACGTCACAAAGCATAAGGCACAGAGAAGGCTGGCCACTGGCTGAGGAGAGACAGAGAAGGGTTTCCCCCTAGATGATCCCGTCAGCACCAGGCTTCAGAGACAGCTGCGTTTGGTTGAAACTGAGCCCAGTTAGTGTTTTCCACATTCGCCCCGAAGTCCATCCCCTGCCCTGTAGGTCGGAAGACTCAGCGGGTTCCCAAGAGCCCATCCCTGAGGTTCTGGCTCAGGTCCTGTGCACAAGAAGAACATCCCAGGCAGCTCCCAGGCAGGCTTGGCAGAGCCGCTGCCGCAGAAAGGACACAGGAGCACAGAGTCTCTGAGACGCATGATGTGGTCCTCATCGTCGCCGGGAAGCTCTGCGCAGGAGACGGCTCACCTGGGCTCTCTCTAGCTCTGCCTGGTCCCTAGAGCTACCGAGGGTTCTGGAGTGCAGGACGGGCTGGATCAGGCTGGGGATCACCACTCAGCAAGTCCCGAGTGCCTCTCAGAGGCTCCCAGCCAAGGAGCAGCCTGTTCCAGGGAGCCTCCCGTGTCCGCTCACCCATGTCTGAGGGGCTTGTTTAAAGACCCAGCATTGTTGAGTAGATTGTTCCATTTCCTTCTTTCTTACACTGTTAGGGACAATGGGAACATGTGGGGCTGATTCATTTTCATTCTGTGGGTATTTTTGTAAATTCTCTTTACTGGGCTCTTCCACCCTGATTCTCTTTACTGTGTGCTCATCAGGGACGATGTGCAGAATCACCTTGGCAGGTCGTGGCTGGCTTGAGGAATGCCAGCTGGTGGCCTCAGGTCCTGGAGGCCAGTGTGAGGGTGTAGGTGGGTGACCTGTCCAGCCTCTGCCCTGCGCAGGTAGCTGTGGCATCTCTGGGGCTCGTTGGTGTGAAGCGGCATCGCCCATCTCTGCCCTCCTCTGGGCATGGTGTTCTCCTTTGGTGCCTCCGTTCACGTCCAGTTTCACCTTTTTGTGAGGACTCCAGTCCTATAGGATTTAGGGTCCACCCTGATGAGCCCATGGGCCAGGCCCCTGTTTCCACAAGGTTGCATACTGCGGTTCTGTGTGCAGAAACTGTCCAGGGCCAGGGCTCAGCCCAAGGCAGGGTCCGTTTCTCCCCTGTCTTGGGCGTCTGGGCCCTTTCTCACATCCTCTGTCTCAAACACCTCTTCTGCTGTTTTTCTCTTTCCTCCCTTGTGGAAGGTCTGGTACCTGTGCAGGGAATCCAGAACTTTCTGAGCTCTGGAGTGGGTGGGAGAAAAGATTACAGATCCCCCACTGGGCAATCACCAAACACATGGCTGGTTACAATTAAGCCCTTCGATATCTTCTAATTAAACCTGTAGAGATTTATTTCTGTATTATTCCTTCGGCGTCCCCAGCATGGGGAAGGGCTCCAGCGAGGGCACATCTGCCCATCTTTGGGTCTGGGCTGAGGACTTTCAGGCAGTCAGCTGGAGAGAGGATGGCTAGTATGTGCTTTCCGAGTAGATGGAGCCTCCTAGCTTGGCAAACCGCCTGGGCGATTGGCACCTTCACTGTGTCAGAACCAACACTCCCTAATTCAATTTTATATGATCTGCTTTTTAAAAAAAAAAAAAACATTAGGTTCTGGAAATATGGTGAGTGTGGTCATTAATATGGGTTTACATAGCAGGAGAATCAGGGTCACTTCCCTATCCTCTCTAACGACGTGCGTACTGTTAATAAGGGCTGGGTTGAACGGGTGCTGCGGGACCTCTCTCCTGGTGAAGGCTAAATTAACCACTCTGGTATTTATTACCTGCTCATTAAAGAGCGTGGGCATCTGAAGCCGTGGTGGAGGCTTCATCATTACTCATCCCTGCACCCCACACCTTGCCCTTGCCAAGGACTGTCTCATTCAGAGGCCTGTAAGCCTCCCTCTGCAACAAAGCAGCCACCATTGTCTGAATTTTAACCCTACTGTTCTTAGAATTTGCAAAAGTGCATAAGCTTTTGATACTTTTTTGTGATTCATACGCTGGTATGCTCTTGCATCCCTTAACCTCATGTAGGAAACCATCCCAGACACTGCTATTCGTTCATTGAATATTTTTACTACAAATTCAGGCACAAATCAAGAGGATCATATGATCGTATAAAGGCCCATCCTCGTGACAAATGGAGACAGCCAAACTAATTTTCTTGGTGACCTTATCTAAATTAGTTAGAAAATAACGCTTCAGATTTATGGCTGGTTACAATTAAGCCCTTTGATATCTTCTAATTAAACCTGTAGAGATTTATTTCTGTATTATTCCTTTGGCAACCCTTTAAAAATGATAAAAATGTAAATGAATATTACCTTCAAAAGGAGATGTTTCTATTTATCCTAAATTAGACTCCTACCCTTCCTTTCAAATGACCGCATTTTAGATTTCAGATTTGCACTGCTGCAAAGCAGATTCCACATGGGTCTGAAATAATTTATTTTTTAAGTTTGTGCAAACGTTATATATAATCTCTTAGAATATAAATAAAGCAAAACCCACTGAATTTTAGCTTCCTTTGCATGTCCCTCGTTTAAAAACTTTATCTCATTCCCCAGAACCCAATATTCAAATGTTATGTGTTTAAATATTAGGTTAGTGTAGTCACCAATGTAATTCCCAGTTAATTACAGGTAGGACGGTGGTGTCCCCTGGCTTGGGTGGCTCTTCGAACCGTCCTCTAGATAGACGTGTTCTTCACAGTGAGTCTCCATAGCCCCGCTCTAGTCACCCTGCAGGGTGAATGAGTGCTCTCCCACTATTTTGCTCTTCTGTTCCTGATCCCCATTTCTCTCCTCTCAGGTGAGTACAGCTACCTGGGGACCACACTCCGCCATGTGTCCATAGAGCCCATGCCTTCCCTCCTGGACGTCCGACAGCTCATCACGCTCTACGGGATCTTGCCTCTGGGTAAGGACCACTGCGCCTTTCCACACGCGGGTGGTCCCAGTGTGGATGTTCTTTGCAGCTTTGCTTCTGCTACTGATATTTCTGAGTGAGCCTCGCTGCCCTTCGACAGTGCGTCCCCAGCATGGGGAAGTGCTCCAGGCAGGGCACGTCTGGGCTGGAGACTTTCAGGCAGTCAGCGGGAGAGAGAATGGCTAAAGCAAGCACCTCAGTTAAAGTGAGTGGCATCAGAGGAAGCACTGGTGGCCATGGGCCTCTGTGCGTGCGCTTCTTCACTGCTCCTGAGCACAGGCAGCCTCTGGGTCCCTGGGCTCACCTGAGGCTGGGCCAGCCCCCCGAGGTCCACTCTCACTGCTAGCCATAGTTTAGCATGCTTCCTCGGAGCCTGTGCAGCGCCAGCCTGTCAGATTCTTCTCCCCCACCTCCGCTGCTGTCACCCCGGGTGTGCCCAAGCCACCTGGAGCAGGGGCAGCGCCCCAGGGGACAACTGTGACACAGAAGTCTCACCGTCTCCTTTGCTTGCAATGGGAGTAGTTGGAGCACCTCCGATCTAAAGAAGAGCTTAAGCCAATTGGCAAGAAATAGTTCAGTCCTCTTCTAACGTCATGTCAGACACAGTAAATGGAACCTGGGCTGATGTTAACATGCACATCCCAGCAAGTAGATGGATTGGGGGCAACAACTCAGTGTCTACAACCTATAATATTCACAGGGTCAATGTAAGTAAAATAGCAGGTTGGACCTCACACTCATCCCAGTGTGTGGAGAGCCCACAGCACGCAGGGCCAGCAGGGCTCGGGCTGTGGATATGAGGGGCTGTGGGGGGTTTCCTGTCGGAAAGCCTCTGTGAGGGGTGCCCAGGAAGCACTTCCCCCACCCTGCGCTCCTTCATCAAAGGGCCCGCTGTCCTGCCGGCCCTTCTGGGCACAGACCCCATGGGGCTTTTCTTCCGACAGAGGTTTCGTGTCATGTCTGGAATGTTTAAGAAGCCTTCAGGTGCTTAATTTAAATTTCATGAGTTGTCTGCAAACCAGAGGAACCCAGAAAGACCCCCACAGCCCCCCCAGCCCTCACAGCCCAACACCTGTGGCTGCCACTCGCCTTCCTAATGTATCAGGGGAAGGTCATGTGTCAAAACAGTATCCAGTTACAGAAAGGAATGTAGGGTTTCTTGTTTTCTGGGCTCTGATGGTTCAGGTCCTTCGTGGTGGCCACTGCCCCAACTAACAAATGTGGCCTTTCAGAGAAGCCACACAGCCACTCTTCACACCAGACTGGGAAACAGCCCCATCCAGGGCTCTCAAGAACAGGTTTGAGGCTCCAAAGCCACCTTAGTAGGTAAGAGACAGCCTGGTGTCTGTCAAAGAAACTGACACCCACCGGGAAGACCTGGGAGAAAAGGCCCGGAGGGGACGATTCCTGAGCAGAAGCATGGTCCTCAGTGGGGATTCAGCCATGGCCACTCCCCACCACGCCATGCAGGTGGACTCCGTGACCGCCTTCCAGATGAGCAAGCATCTCCAACATGGTGAGGGGTGGGAAGAGGTAACACTGGGATCAGGACCAGAAGCCTGGCCTTCCTTGCACTCTGCAGTCCTCCCCCACCAGAAGCTCCCGTGGCTCTCGGCCACCCCAGCAGCAGCAGGGAGAGCCCTGCTGACTCCCAGGTCCACCCGCCCACCTTCAGCCTCCTGGGGTCACCTGGCTCCCAGGTGCAGAGGCCTTCCCCAGCCACCCTCTTCGCCTCTGGGCCGCCGGCCTGACCCTCCTCTGGAACGTGACTCCAGCACGTCATACACACCTTCTCCGGCATCTCCAGCTGCCCCTGCCCAGGTGCTGTCCTGGTCCTGGTCCTTCCGCCTGCACCTCTTCCAGCCCCTGGCCCCTGCAGTGGGCCATGCCGGCCACCCTTCAGGGACACCGACCACTGGTGGCATCCTTCTCATGCCCCTCACTGTCCATCCCCAGTCACCTTGCCTACTGGAATCACTCACCACAGGCCTGTGTCACTGTGGCCCCCCCGGCTGGAGCCTCCTCCTCAGGTCAGCCTTGTACTGGAAACTGCTATCACCACGTGGTTAGCCTTGGCCAGCTCTTTGCCCTTTTAGGCCAGTTGTTAATGTGCCCGTATAATTATGATACGCTTTTCCTTTTCCTTTTTCTTGTACAGGAAATTATGTAACGTACGCAAACACGATTTTCACGAATATCCACCGTCCTCCACATGAGCCAGCCCTCTGTAGGGTGACATTGAATAGCGTGTTTGCTTGTTAGCGAGGGATGGGGTAGTGGAAGTGAGGAAGGCACACGGTTTTCCCCGGCAGGGGAGGGGTGCCAGGCTTTCCTTGTCCATTCAGCCCCGGGGTATGGAAGGCTGTCCAGGGTCCAGTTCCTTTCTCACTATGCCCGGTGACCGATCCGAGCTCTGCTTGCATTCTCTGTGATGGAGACTCCCCAGCCACAGAGATGGGCAGTATGGTTGAGAACACAAGGCAGGAACCTTGGAATAGTGACAGTAATTCAAGTCACTTACTACCCAGCGTCAGTCTGACTGTGCTGCCCAGCCAGACAAAGGCCAGGGAAGAAGAAGGAAGCCGAAGCTCCTTCCTGCCTGGGTCTAGGCACAGTCAGCACCACTACATGCTAGGAAGGCGGCTCCAGGGACCCTCCTTGGCCCACTTCACGGGACTCTGTCCCCACCTTCCTTCCCGAGCCTGCAGGGATTTGTGCTGTTGCTGGGAGGTGGAGAACCCCTAAAGAAATAAAAGTAAAAATCCAAGAAAAGCTACCCCAGGAGTTCAGCTTAACGCTGGGAGTTAGGGAAGGTGTCGGGGGAGAGGAAGAAAAGGAGGTATTGAGTGACCACTGACCCTAGGGCTCCAACCCAGCTCTGGTGTACAAACCAGAGACGCTGCAGCCCAGGGCAGGAGCCACGCCCAGGCTCACCTTCTTCCCATGGTCATCACGGTGCAGAAACCAGGGCCACGTGAGGTGCCAGCCCTGAGGCTCTCAGTGAAGGACCACTGGTGTTCTTGGCAGGTGTTATGGTCTGGATGTGAGGTGTCCCCCAAAGCTCACAGGAGAGACAATGCAAGAGGGTACAGAGGGGAAATGGGTGGGTTGTGAGTGCCTTAACCCAATCTGTGAATTAATCACTGGTGGGATTAACTGGGTGGTGATTGGGGCAGGGTGTGGCTGGAGGAGGTGGGGCGTTGAGGGTGTGGCTGTGGGGTCTGTATCTGTGTCTGGCAAGTGGAGTCTGTCTGCTGCCTGTCCGTCATGTGAGCCACTTCCCTCCACCACACTCTTCCACCTTGATGTTCAGCCTCAGCTGGAGCCCTAAGGAATGGAGCCTGCCTTCTGTGGACTAAGACCTCCGAAACCTGGAGCCCTCAAATAAGCCTTTCCTCCTCCACAGTTGCTCTGGTCAGGTCTTTTAGTCACAGCAGCTGATGGAAAGAGCAGGATTTTAGAGCCTCTGCCCCCACCTTCCCAGGGTCTGCCGCCGTGCATGAGAAGGCTCCCTTGGTGAAGTCCTTGCTGCTGGCTGGGCCGTCCGGGGTAGGGAAGAAAATGCTGGTCCACACCATCTGCACGGAAACGGGAGCCAACCTCTTCAACCTATCGGCGGCCAACATCGCTGGGAAGTACCCTGGCAAGAACGGCCTGCAGATGATGCTGCACATGGTCTTCAAGGTACGTGCTCCGTTTCTCTGGCTCGGATTCTCCACCCTCTTTCAAATCACATTTTCAAGTCCTGCAGATAACTTTTTTAGGCCAACAAGCACATCTCTCTTTAACTTCCCCATTGCCTCCTCTGTCAATTCATTGGTTGCCGCCCCTGGCTGAGCATCCTGCGATTAGGAGCAGCTTCGTTTTCCGTGTAAACACCCTCCTGTGCCATCCAGACCCCCCCACCAAACCCTTGCACAGCCCAATGAAAATCCAGTCCACAGTCTCTCTCCTCAGCCCGCCCCGCTGTAATAACATGTATCAGGCATTCGCACTTGGGCTTCGTTGCTCATGTGGCATAAACTGCTGGGCTCCGGTGGCTCCCGAGCATCAGCTCTTTCCTCGGGAGACCTGGAGCAGCTCGCGGTACGCTAAGCAGAGCAGGGATGTGAAAAGGCAAGGGCTCCGCAGGATCTGCTTGGTCAGGCTCCACGTGGGAGGTGGTGACAGATCAAACATGCACGGACGTGGTAAGGACAGCCACTGTAATCTGTGTCGTGTTACTACCCAGTATCGGCAGTTCCTTCTCGGCATTCAGCTAATACAGCCTTCCACAACTGAGTGAGTGAGTGTACTGCGGTTTCACCCCTTAGCCACTGTCCTCCTGACAGCAGCGATTGCTGGACTTGAGAGCAGAGCCTCTGCCTGCGCGGACTTCCGACCTCTCCCAGGCGGAAGCGCCCTTAGGAGATGCATCCGATTCGTCACTGTTTTCCTGATTGCTTGGTTTGTCATTGTGAAGTGTCCCTGGAAATGACCCTTGTCTTGAAGTCTACCTGTAGTCAATATTAATGTGGAGGTAGCCACCCCGGCTTTCTCGTGCTTACATCTATGTGTATTTTATGATCTTTTATTTTCAATGTCTCTGTGTCTTTAACGAGCACCTCTGTAATACTACAAAGCTGCTTTTTCTTATTCAGTCTGACAATATGTGTCACTTAATTGGTGCACTTGCTCCGTTGTATCCATCCATCTTTATGACCATTTCCCTGTCTATTCTCCATTGTCCTTTTCTTTCTTATTCTGTGTCTCCTTTCCTTCCTTCCTTCGGGTCAATTCAGCATTTTCCTAGTAGATCCTGTCAGTTCCTCCACCGGCGGTCCTTTCAGCGGTGTGTCCACTGTATTGCACAGGGCTGCTCTAGGTTGCACCCACCAGGCTGTCCACGGTCCGCGTGGAGTCGGTGTTGTCCCCGACCACGTGCCCAGCAGCGGCACAACCCCCTGCCACCCTTGCCAACTCGTAGTTCTGCAGCTAAAATCAAAACTACAATTGAATGTTGCTATTTTTGCCTCAAACAGCCATTGGTCTTTAAAATCAAAAGAGAAAGAGCCACAGTCTCCGTGGTCTCCAGATGTCCACCGCTCCAGCACCCTGGTCCCCTGCAGCTGTCCACGCTCCCGCCGGCCTGGCTGCCCTCTCCACCAGGGAGCTCCCTTAGCACTTCTTTCCGTGCCGATTTGCTGCCAGTCCATTTTCTTAACTTTCATTTCTTTCTCTTAAAAGTCTTTACACTGTCCCTAGCTTTTAAGGACACTGTTGTTAGACATCGAGTTCGGGGTTGACATGTTTTTTCTTTCAGCACCATGAAGACGTCACGCGTGGCCTTCTGGCCTCCAGTGCGTGTGGCAAGGAGTTGCCGAGCCGGGATCCCTGCTTCCCTGGCGTTCCTGTTACCTCTATTTACTCTGCTTTTGACTCAAGTGCATCTTGAATCTGTAGATACATCATTTACACCAAATCTGGGGTGTTTTGGCCATTGTTTCCTCAAATATTTTTTCACCCATCTTCTCCCTCCTCTCCTAACCCTCCAGTTAGACATATTTCACCTTGATTCTGCTCCCTAGGCCTCTGTTCCCACTGGATACTCTGTCCCTGTGTCTGCGCTTACCTACCCTTTCCTCTATCATCCCCAATCTGCTGTTAAACCCATGGTGTAGATTTTTTAGTTTTTGGTACCTTTGTTTCTAATTCTAGAACTTGTGTTCGCTGCTGGGGGTTGGTTTTCGATGCTGAGCGGCGCTTCTCCATCTGCTCATTCATTGACCATCTTTCCTCTAAGTCCTTGAACCTCGAAGTCCTTGCCTCGCAGAGCTTCTCCGCTCCTTCCAACGCAGCACCACCGCGAGTCTATTTCTGCTTGATTGCTTTCTCCTGGACCATGTGTCACATTTCCCGGGTTCTTTGTGTGATTAATAACTTTTTACCATATGTTAGACATTGTGGATGATATGTTGTCGAAGTTCCCTGGCAAGCCGAGTGTGGTTCTGGCAGGCAATTAACTTACTGGCTGATGAACTTGAACTTGCAAGGCTTTGTTCTCTGTTTTCTTAATGTGGTCTGTTTGATTTTACCCTCAGTCCAAGGTAAATCCCCCAAGCCGGGGACGTGGTCTTTTCCTCAGCTGCAGTGGAAGAAAGCCTCTCCAGGCTCCTCCTGTGGCATTGACTCAGCGGTTCTTCCCTGAGCCTGCTTTCCCCTGAGCCTCTGGGGCTCTCCGGCTCTGTGTGCACACTTTGCAGGTCAGCTGCTGACCTGAAGGTGAGCTGGCAGCTGAAGCCAGGCAGCCTGACCTGTGCCCTCTGTGTGCTTAACCAACGAGCTAAGCACCAGGTCTTAGAGGAAAAGTAACAGAAACCCATCCCTTGCCCAAATGAGCACCCAGCCTTGTTCACTACAAACGTCAAGTTGTAGGGACACTTAGTATTGTCAGGTGACACACAGAAGCACACAAATATAAAAGCATGAGCAGTTTTCAAGCATCTATGCACCCCACCTTGCTGGGCTGTGGTTGCCTGTTAACTCATCAACTCTCACCACAGCCTGGGAGGCAGGCACTAACACCGTCCCATTTGACTGATAAGCAGACTGGGGCACACAGCATTTAAGTAACATCCTTGGATGGCAGTGCTCAGGGTCCAGCCCCAAAGCCTCCAGTTTCATAGCTCTGCCGGAAGTAGATCCTCACATGTAGCCTCCTGAAGTGGGGCTGCCGGCCCAGCCCCCGCTCCTGGGGGCCTAGGAGCTCCTGGTGTGCATCTGGGGCCCAGCCAACGACATGATCCTTGTCCCAGGAGGTCATTTGTTCCCGCCGCTGGGAGGCTTTGTCTCAGTATCAGATAAGCTATGTTTGTACTTATCAGAATGATCACAAACTGACATTGTGTGGACCACGGACCTCGGATGTCAAATTATCAAAACGTGGAGCAACACATTTATCTGCCTGGGCCGCGTGTCAGAGTTCGGGACGCTCACCTCGTTAAACTCCACCTTTATTGTGTGTATAGCTGATTAATGAAAGACACCAAGGTCTCGGGAGTGGGAGTCATTCAATTAAAACATGTTCACAGTGAGGCCACTGTGCGCCAGCTTGACTGAGGAAGCAGCTATTTGCATTGCAAAGAGGTTTTGCTTTTAATTAACCAGAGGAAAGAGAGAGATTCTGCTTGTGTTGATAAGTCAAGGGCAGGAAGCTGAGCACGTCTCTGTGATATGTGAACCCAGGCCGGAGCGCGGCCCAGTGTAGCTCTGTGGGACTTGCCGGAGGTGAAGGGACAACTGGGCCTGATTCTGCCTCACCTCTTCCTGCCAAGAATTCCTGCCATAGAATTGATCCCAGAGAGCAGAGAGTGCAACTGGTGGGAGACTTCCTGGCTTCCAGTCTGACTGGTGGCCCCACCTCACCCAGCTGCCTGAGCACCCCGGGGAAGTCGCAGATTTATTATGTCACCACCAAGTGCTTTGTTATGGTCCTTAGCAGAGAATTCTTTATCTCACACTGAACTCTAAAGGGCAGTAAGTAGCAGGAAGTGTTTCCTAAAAGAAATTGTGCAAGTCAACAGCGCTCACAGCAAATGTCCCTATGACTATACGCAGAAAAGAAGATGTGTGTCTCGGAAATATTAGAAAAATAGTCAATGAGTATTTCTTAATAGCCAATTAATAAATATTTGGTGTGTGTGGGATGAATATTTAAAGTATTTGTGGACAAAGAAGTTAGCAAGGCAGGGCCATTACCGAGGACTCCCCCAGCTCCGGCGCCCCCGGGTCTCCGTCCCAGTTCATGGGGGCAGAGGAGCAGAAGGGGCCCTTGTTGGCCTCTAACAGGAGCAAGGCACTGAGGACGGTTATAACGCTTTTCCTTTTAATGGTGCCAAACCCTGCCTGGGGTAGGAATTAATGTTCCCATTTTACAGACAAGAAAATTAAGACTCAAGAGTACCAGATCGACCCACATACAGGAGAATCAGAGGCCTGGAATCTGCCCTTGAGCCGGGGCCTGACTCCACCCTGCCATGCTGGCCCCAGCTGCTCCCTGGGGGAGGCTCTCCTGCCCTGCCCCACTTGGGCTTCCTGGGCCCGAGTGTCAGCAGGGAACACTGAGCTGCTGAGTCCTTAGGAGCGTCCACAGGATCCCACTTCCTACCCATCCCCCTTCCCTAGAGTCCCCTCTTCCCTCAGAATGGCCTCTCAGGCCTCTTGGCAGAGTCAAGGGAGGCCAGAGCAGAGCCCAGAGGGAGGCCAGCAGGGGACTCACTGGCCTGCACTCTGGGTCTTGGGACAGATGCTCTCTCCTCTGCGGTGGTTCTTGGCCCTCCTCATCCTCCTTCTGCACACTGACCTGGCCCTCTGGCCCACCTGAGACCAGGGCTAGGAGACCAGGGCTAGGGGCCACCCAGCCAGGGGGGATGGACTTGCTGGTGCACACTACCTGCCTGTGCAAGGTGAAGTTCAGCAGGAGATTGCAAAGGCCAGCACCCCAGCCCAGCAGAGCCCATCAGAGGGGCGGAAACAGGAGAAGAGGGAGTGGGCAGTCTGGTGACGCTCGACTGTGACAGTTGAGGGGGCTGTGACAGCCCTGAATGGCCTGCTGGGGGAAGGCCAAGGTCACCTTCCACCGTGGGATGGAGGCGGTTTCCGACTGAGGGAGGTGCAGACTGGTGTCCAATCCTTCCACTGTTTTG